GGGGGTTCTGTATGAATTGTTTTTCTTTTAAATGGATTGCAAGCCACTTGGATAACCCATTAAGCTAGGAATGTGGGATACACCTATTAGAACAAACAGTCTGCACCTCCCAGTCCATCTAGTCAAGCCATTTTGAATGCCCAAAATTTGCACACACAGATATTTGGATGTTGGGAGGAGGTTACACTGTTCTGCTACAAGAGTTCAAGCAGATGTCTCCAGAAATGAAAACCAAGGGTCACTTCCTGGACTATGCCTAGCAACCAGTCTTCCCCATTAACCATCACGTCCCCCAGCACTAGCAAGGTGAACCCCACACTCCACTTTGTTATGCAGAGCTAGGATTATTGCTGCAGATGTACAGAGCCAGCTACAGCATTGCATATCATGCCCCAAAGGGCAAAAGCCAACTTCCTAGGCGTGCCTTCACATTGACAACAGTATCAACAGCACAGAGGGGTTTGTGCTGTTTGGAGACACTGAGAATTCTCAGATTATAGAGATGGTTGGATTCTGCTGCACTTAGCATGCATGCTGTCCACAAAGACAGGCCAGCAAAGCCTCTTCCTCCAACCCGTGCAATTTCCGTGGTCGGCCAAGGTGTGTCAGCCAATACTGTCAGGACGAAACTAAACTCAAGTCTTTGTCTTTTCCCTATTGGCTGCCTTCCCATTAAAATTCAACTGGGCAATCTGCAGTAGTGAGGCAAGCAAGAAGGTGCAAGACCCAGCTGAGTTAAAATGATTTGGAGCAACATTGCTGGCTCTTTTCGTTTTCATTTGTGCCTGACAAACAAGCCTTTCCTCCCATCGCTTGCTGCTTAGTGAAGCAACCCCCTGAGTTTAAGGCAACCACATCCTGTTTCTGGAGGAGGGGGAAGGAGAGCAGAGAGATTTTGCTCTGTTTATGGTATGAAGAAGCACATGCCTTGTTTTAAAGGTTTGGCAAAGGGTTTTTACCCAGAGTTAGGCCATCTTTACACATGCTGCATCCTGATATCCAGGTTTATTATGAGCATATAGGGTGTTTTCTTTTTAAATTGTTGCTTGGTGGTTTCCACGGGGAAGCATTCTAAAACGGCCTCTTCCCCTGGCAGTCTGAAGTGCTCAAGTCTAGATTCCACCACTTCAAGTCCCCCACCTGAGTCTTCTGCACAAGCACTCAGGCCAGGCCATGTGTTTGTTTCAGGAAACAGAATTGGACGTTAGTGAGACTCTAGGGAGAAGCCTAGAAGGGGGGGGCACAGGTTTGTGCCGCCAATGCATGCTCCTCTCTGCTTGCTGCTTCACCCTTGGCACACCCCATCATCATGATGAGGCGGCTGGTGCACTGTGCCCACGGGGGCGCAAGGGGGAACAGACGCCCAGCAGTGTCCTGAGGAGTTTGGCAGCCCCTTTTCCCTCCTTCCCTGTGTTGCTCAGCACATCCGCTGTGCCCCACAGGCCATGAGGAGGCTGCTGGAGTGCGGTGCTGCAGCCATGGGTGAGGGCTGTGGGGCCAATAAGGGCCCTGAGGGAGCCCCAGCGTGCCTGGTCTGCTGCTGCACCATGACTGGATACACGTGTCTTTCAGTGACTTTGTGGTAAAGCCAGGGCTGGCCCACCCATGAGGCAAGGTGAGGCAACCGGCTCAGGCGGCAGGATCCACGGGGGCAGCAAATCCTGATGTTGATCTTTCTTTCCCCCGGTTCCTGATCTTCCCTCACCCCTTCTTCCTTGTTGGGGAGGGCATTCACCCAGGTGCCAAAATGCTTGGGGTGGCCCTGATAAAGCCTCTCATAGGGATTGGTTGGGCAGCACTGATGTCATAATGTGGTTGGGTTGCACCAATGATGGCTGCAACCCTACTGAACTATTTTTGCCCTCTTCTGTCCAATTTTAAATAGCACCTTTGAGCAGGAAAGGAGGTGGCAACAGACCAAAATTAGTAGGAAAGTAAAGCAAGTTTTTCCCTAGAAGAATAAGCAGAAAAAGGAAAGGTCGGAAGAGAGTTTATAGTACTACAAACCAATTCAGGACATTGACTCTTATAGAACATTACAGGTTGCTAGATTCCTGATTTCAGTTCTTTCATATAAAAGACTTCATGGAATGCTGCATGATTATTAAGAATCCAGTAAACTCTATGCACCATCTTTATCTTCAAGGCCATAACATGGTACATCTAGAGATTGTAAGTAATGTGAAGGAGATTATGCGTTGAAATATTTTAGTTGATATTTTAGATTGTAAAATCCTATTTTATCTATTGATTTGTTTTACCTTGTGGGCTTATAGCCGAATAAAGTATTATCTATCTATCTACTACAAACCAATATAGACTTTAGGCCAGCTGAACAGTTATGGATAAGAATCTTGGGTATTGTAACCTTGAGTGAAATGCTGAGAATCCTGAGCCGCCCATCAAAGAGTTCCCCCAGAAGTAGGATTGCCATATTTAAAAAAGTAAAAACCATGACACACTGAAAGTTGTTGGGCTTTTCTTATTTTAAGTAAAAGCTACAAGAAAATTTGAGGTTTCGGAGCTTTTAAAGGCAATTTTGGCACAATTTAACCCCCGTTGCAAGTGGAGAGCCAAGGGGTGAAATTCTGCAGAGCAGCAATGGTCCATCAGTGCAAGTATTTCTCCTTGTGCTACATAATGTCCTGCCCCTCTTCTCACCCCTGTGTGCCTCCCAAAACTGGAATTCTCTCAACCCTTTGAAGCAGAGTTGGTGATGGCATGGGGCATGCGTTTAGAACACATTTAATGTTCTGGCTTAAGCAGGTTTCCATTGTGAATATCCTAGCTGGAATCCAGCTGAAAATAGTGCAGAGTAATGCAATGCACTTTATTCCATGCTACCCTGATATCAACCAATCAGCTACTGGTGCCTGTCATGTCACTTCCCAAGCAGCCCCTGATTCCAATGGCCATGGGTAGGACTGCCTCTCTTTGGCATCAGAAGCTCTGGTACCAGCATGGAGCACATCCTTGCTTCCTTCCAGTGGTGGCCAGACCACTTACCAGGAAGGAGAGGAGCAAGGTGTCACAGAGATTGGCATATTGTGGGCACATGGGAGGGAGTGCCAAGTTGAGCCTGCCCATTTGCCTGCACCAAGCCGGCTTCCCTCCCACCTTGTCCTCTCCCTCTCGGAAAGCAGCAGTGGCACTGCTACCTGAAATCTGGCAGTGCAGCTTCCCTCCACAGGCAAGTTGCTTCTGCCCCCTGAATTTTGTCAAGTCTAGAAGTGGAGCTCAGTGATTTTTGCTGAGTCCCAGCTGTCTATCAATCTCACCAGGACCGTTATAAAAATAGTGGAGCACTGGCTGGGGAAATATCATCCTTGCCCCCTTTGTTCTGGCAACTGGTGTGAAATAGGTAAATAAAAAATAAGGTCAGTTTTCTTGGGTGGATCTTGTTTAACAGGACTCCTGGAATTAGTCTGGATTCAGGACCACACCAAAGAGACAATTTGTTCCCCACGTCCCATGGAGCTCTCTCCACTGCAATGACTGTTGTGATGTCCTCAGAGAGAACACTGGCCCAAGTTCAATCCCAAACATCTCCAGGAAGGGCAGGGAATGTCTTAAGGGCTTGTCCACACTTCCACTTCTCCTGTGCCTTGGAAGCACAGGTCTGAGCCGTTTACCCCTTTCCCCTCACCTTTCCCAGGGAAACCCACTCTTTAGCTCTAAATCGGAACAAATGGCAATCCACAGAAACCCCAATTGCTGTTTGCTCCGATTGAGCACTAAAGAGTAGTTTTCCCTGGGGGGAAGTGTGGGGAAGACCTGAAATTCTGTTAGGCCACTGCCAGTCAGGGCTTATCCACACTTACCTTGTGCCCCACTCTTTCCAGGCACAGGTCTGCACTTTAAAGCTCCATGTCCAAGTGCCCCATTTTTTGCTCCAGAGCTTTCCCTGAGAAAAGCGGCTCTTTAAAGCTGACTCAGAGCAAACAACAATTTGTAGAGTGCCATTTGCTCTGAGCTTTAAAGCTCCTTGAACACAATGTGCCTTGCTTTTCTGTGAAGATACTTTTCTTTCTCCTGTAAATATTCTTCCAACACAACCGCACTGATTTCTCTTGCCCTTTATCATATTCTCAACTAGCTAGCCCCACCCCCATCAATTGCATGGATTCAGAATATGATATTACTAGCAGTGGGACCCATCCAGTATTGCTTTTGTCATCGGGGGGGGGGGGGGTTTGACAGACACAATGTTTAAAGAGAAGCCACAGTTGGTTATTGGTCTGTGGTACAAGCCTGGCAACTTTTCAGTTTACATGACAATTGCTGGATCTTATCAGGTCAGATGCTGGGTCGGCCATCAATTCTGCCACTCTCTCCTATGTTTACAGCCTTTCTTTAAGTTTTACTTTTCACAATGCTGTATGTTTGTTTGTTTATTTATACTTTCATCCTCCATGTTCTGTTTTTAAAAATGCAAATATGTTTAAAAGAGTTGCAAAACTGCTCGCAGGACTAATGCCTTGGTGATGTCATGTGTGCTAGCCAATTAGTACTGTCAGTGCTTTCCCCCTTTCTTTCTTTTTAAGGAAAAAGGGTCTTGGCGGACACCATGAAGTTGTTACAGTAAATGCCACACTTTTAACTTTTTTTTGGGGGGGGGGAGGTGCCCGTACTGCATAGCCTTGAGTACCTCCAGAAGAAAAGTACCGAGTGCTGTGACAAGCCAGATCTTCCTGCAAACTAGCATCACTGTTGTTTTTTCCTAAGGAGCAAATGGCATGTTTGTATTAAGGAGAGTTTCAAGACAGCTCTGCAAATCTTGTGCCTGTCTTTATTTCAGTTTGAGCATTCACTAAGCCCAATAAGATTTCAAACACATCCATATTGGCAATTATTTAAATAGTTTTCAATAGATTTTAGCTTGAAAGGAAGACAAGACTTCTCTACAATTTTGCCAGAATGCATGGCTAGATTCTATCTTTCATTGTTTGCACAAGGCCTCACGGAGATTTCTCTTTTATCCCTTTTATCCTCCTTTCCAGATCTCAATAGCCAAGTGAAAGGGACTGAAAACAAGAAACGCTTCAGTGAGATTTTCCGGAGTCTGGATGCCATAGAAATTTCAATTGGAAATTCGTATGTATCCAAGATCGGTTTCATAGCAATCCTCCTAACACAGTGCTCACCACCACTGCTAAATTTATCCATACTGTTGTACAGAACTGAAGGGAGAAAGATCAACGCAGATGAGGCATGAGCATCTCCATCAACCGTGGCTGCTGAAAAAAGCGCAACTGCAACCATGAAAATGGCTTAGAATTGTCAGAAGAATATTTCTACTGACCTGTCAGGGTTGTTATGCTTTTCGCCAGAACCAGAGGGTGCAAAGCCAGAAAAAATAACCCAGCTGAATTCTTCTTGCATTTAGCCTGGTTCTTTTATTTATTTAACAAAATTTATATACTGCTTAAATGGAAATAAAACCTCTAAGCACTTTTCAAATAATATAAAACATACATTTAAATTGTCAATAAAAATCAGTGTTAGAAACATGCTGTCAGAGCTGCCCCTGGTCCCAGCTCACAAAGGACCAACGCCAGTTCCTCTTTATATACAGAAATCTTTATTGAAGTTCATTATTGGTTTGACAGCCGTGGCGCGCAGCCCTACGTCTGAAACCCTAGACCGTCGAAGCTCCATCTGAGTCTCCTCCCCCCAGACACCAGTTTAAGACCCTAGCTTTGCTCCACCTCTTCCTCTGCTCCCTCTTCCTCTGGGTCCGCTTGTCCGCCGAGGTCTTGCCCTTCCTAGACTCTTCTGAGGCTGAATCCCCTGAGTCTTCCCCCTCCCTCCGGCGAGCTTTAGGACCTGGTTCCCAATCCGTGCTTTCTGCTGTCCCGCACGCCTGTACATTTGAACTTGGCGCGCGCGCCTGCCACCTTCCTTCTGACCGTTATACTGCTCCTGTCGCTGCTTCCCTCTTCGGGGATGCCAGCTGGGCTTGACTCCGCCTCCCTGCTTGCCGGAGGAGACGCTGACTCTGACCTATGGGGCTCTTCCCTCTCACTACTCTCTGGTGGGGAAGCTGGCCCTGATTTCCAGCTACTGCTTTGGGAGTCTCCACTGACCCCCTGCTTCTGGTGTGTCCCCCCTGGGACCCCCCTTGCCCTGGCCATCGGCGCCCCCTTCTGGGAATCTTCTGATTCACTGGAGAGGCTCATGGAATCTCTCGGGTCACTGTCATTCTGCCCTCCGCTGCCCTCAGATTCTTCCCCTTCGCTCTCCATTTCCTCTCTCCCCTGCGCCTCTGCTCCTGAGCCCCTGACACATGCTATAAAAAGCAAAATGAATAAAATCAACAGTTAAAAGTATACATTCTAAGCTAACATTATGGGTTAAATACCCATCAACTTTACATGTCTGGGTAGGCTTGCCCAAATGGAAAAGTTTTTAGCAGGTACTGGAAAAAATACAGGAAGGAGCCTGCCTAAAGTCAATGGGCAGGGAGTTCTGGGGTTTAGGAGCTGTGACACCAAAATATGGGTTCCTTACAAATGCAGAACAGCTATTCTGGCACACCTGCAACAGTGCGAGTTGGGGAGATCCAGATGGCTGACTGGGGTAAGGGGATCCTTCAAGCAAACTGATCGGCCCTAAGGTGTTGGTAACAGACATGTACTTTATGCTATTTTTGGTTTTTGGTTTTTTAAAGTTTGAGGTGCAGGTGCCTCCGTGGCTAGGAGGTGCAGCTGTGGCCATTCTTGGACTGGGATAACTTGACCATGTACTGGTAACCTCGTGGTAGCACTACTCTGGTGCACTCCATGGGGCTGCCCTTGGGGTTGGTCCACAGGCTGCAGCCGCTGCAGCCGCTGCAGAATGCAGGAGCAAACCACCGGCAGCATATAACACGCCACTTGGGGGATTTTTTTTCTGGCTGCCAAGCTGCTGCCAGTCCAAGTTCAAGGTGCAGGTATGAAGATATAAACCCCTCTATAGCTCAGGACAAGGGAGCTTGAGAGACCACCTTATATCTCACCCAGCAGATCACTGCAGCATGCAGGAGAATTTACCCTTTCAGTGCCAAAGGTTTCCAAAGTTTTCTCTGCGGTAACTCTGGGCAGAGCTTTTTGTGTGGCTGCCCCTGCTCTGTGGAATAGCGTTCCTGTTGAGATGCCCAATGTCGACAGGTGCCCAATATCCACACTTTCCAGAAACAAACTGAGGCTTTATAGGCTTTTCCAGTTGGCTAAATGGGTTTTTGCTTTGGTATGGTTTTAGTTTTGTTTTAAACACAACTGCTGGTACCCCCACCACCCCCAGCAACTGTTTATTGATGTTTCCATTGTACATTGTCTTGAGGTAACTCTATAGAAACTAATTGATTAATGAAGATGATGACAATAGATAATTCTGCAGCAGAGAATAATGACATCAGGAGTAATTTACTTTGGGAACAAATCAAAGGAATGCAGTTTCAATGGAAGCAGGATCAACTAAAATTGTTCTGTGGAAATGCAACCAGCCCCACACAGTTGATGCTACTGCTGGGTTTGCTTGACCTTGGGGGAGAGAGAAAATCAAGGTTTCTGGAGTTTCATGCAACTTTTGTCTCTATCAAACCAGCTTGTCTGACAAGCTACTTTTGTTTATATGGTCATAACTTTAGGGAATAGTTGCATTTCTTGGTATGCTGCCGTTGCAGATTTTAGAAGGAAGGCTTTCAAACTGATGAACAAGCAGCAATGGAGGACTGCTTCATGTTGCCGGAAGGCAAATACCTGTGTGTCATTGCCATCATTTGTGCATATAAGCAGGGAGCCACAATGGATTATGACTCCCTATTGAGAGCACATATGTTGTACATTTTACCAGGGGGAAAAATGAATTTGCCAGTGCACATCTTGCTCAGTCAGGATGAGCCCAAATACTCTGGTTTTTGGGGTGGAAAAATCCAAATGCTACCATTCTCCCAGATAAGAATCTAATAAATAAAGGAGGATTTGCCACTCAGTAATGGCTCCTAAAATCTACCACTCAAGGCAGCTATACCATTCTGCATAATATTGTGTTGTATGGCCCATTTTGTGTTGTATGGTTCTGGTGGAGAACCTTTACTTCTGCCGTGTGTGTAATATTACTTGTTGGCTCTTTCTAATTTGCAGGGCAGTTGATATGTTCATTGATGATGTTAATGACAATGATAGTGGAATCTCAAACCTGCAGACGGAAAAACTACAGGTACGTTGAAATGTAAGCCTGACACTGGAGTGAAAAACTATTAGTGCATTTGTGAAAAGCTAATTTGTTCCAATAGTTCAAAAGTAACCAAATCCCTTCCTTTGCATGATAAACTCCCCCATAAAGTCTAATACCACAAAACTAGCAAAATGGGTAGCCAACATGGTGCCTATGGGTGCGGTGGCCCCCTTGAGAACTTCCACACACCACTCACTGTCCCTTGCATTAACAGGAGAGAAGGGGGCTGGCTGCCTTTCTTCCCCTCAAAAAGTCCTGTACAGATGGAGGACAAAGTTGGAAGGCTCTCACCTTCATCTGCTTCTTTTCTGCTGCATGTGCTTTTCAAAGCTCAGACCAGCACTGAAGCTGAAAGCAGGAGAAAGGGAAGATTCTGGGAGCTTGTGGGGAGGGGCTAGGGGAGAAAGTGGTCAAGAAAGAGAAAATGTAATTGGAGAGAGTGGGAGGAAGAGAAGGGGCAGTGTACATGTGCAAAGATCCAGCAAAACAGATCCACTGGAAACGGCATAATTTTTTAAAGAAGTTTTCTCGTCCTTCCCAAATTACCATTAAATCACAAATCATATCTGTCTCTTTGACAAGACTGCAAAAATCACAGATCCTGTGCTTTGGTCTAGTGCTGCCATGGTGTAAAATTGTGGATCCAAGGCACAGATCCTTATGGATCCCCAAATAGTGAGAAATTAGCTTAATATCACTTTTTAGCTCAAAGGGTGTGAAAGGTGTCTGAGACGACACTGCAGGATATTTCAGCTATCTTGTGAGGTTTTGGATTTTATCACTTGCCTTCTACCATCTGCATAGCTGTCAATGGTTCCCTTTTTTTAAAGGGAAATTCCCTTATTCTGAATAGGATTCCTCGCAAGAAAAGGGAAAAGTTGACAGCTATGACCATCTGCTCCTTCCCAAGTTTCTGCATCAGAAGCAGATTATGTGGGTGGGTGGGTCTGAGGTGCACAGTCTGCACCTCGTGCCCTTGCCCACACTTCCACTTGCCCCATTCCTAGAAAGCACAAGCGGGTTTCCACTTGCCCTGCTGCTTTCCCCAGGAAAACTTGCTCTTTAAGTGCTAAATGGGAGCCAATGTCCACCTGGAGAAAACCTGGTTGACCTTTGTTCTGATTCAGTGTGAAGAATGGGTTTCCTCTCGAGAAAGCAATGGGGCAAACAGAAGCTGGAAGAGCCCTAAAGCACTGTAGTTGTGTTAAACAAACCAAATGAAGCTTTAAAATGGGGGGCTGTGCATTTGGGGGTTATTCGCCCATTTAAAAACATTCTCAAAAATATTATCATCTCTTTGTTTCACAGGCAGATGAAGCTTTCTATAAATGTGAAGGAAGTTCGGAAGCAGGAGAACCAGGGAACATGTCAGGTAACAGGACAAGGGAGGTTAAACAAAGGTGGCCAAATTCAGTTTGGATTGCCACTGTCATTTTACATCTGCTGCTGGGCTTGAGGACTCTTGTAAGTTTTGGGCATCATGAATGGCAGGACATCCAGGACAGACAAAAGAAAGTCCTTCTCCACAAAATGCACAATTAATTTATGGAGCTCACCATCACACAATGTGGCGATAACCAGTAGCTTAGATGGCTTTGAAAAGGGGATCTGATGAGTTCATGGAGGATGTGTCAATAAAATGATGGTTTTTATTATTATTATTATTACAAAAGCCCACCCTCTGGTTATATTTTCACTTAACAGCATGGCTACCCACAACCTGTTGTGAGGATCAAAGTCACGTTTAAGCATTACTGTATTAAAGACATATGTGAAAGGGAGTCAAGCGGGTGGCGCTGTGGGTAAAACCTCAGTGCCTAGGACTTGCCGATTGAAAGGTCGCGGTTCGAATCCCCACGGCGGGGTGCGCTCCCGTCGCTCGGTCCCAGCGCCTGCCAACCTAGCAGTTCGAAAGCACCTCCGGGTGCAAGTAGATAAATAGGTACTGCTCCGGCGGGAAGGTAAACGGCGTTCCGTGTGCTGCGCTGGCTCGCCAGATGCAGCTTGTCACGCTGGCCACGTGACCCGGAAGTGTCTGCAAACAGCACTGGCTCCCGGCCTCTTGAGTGAGATGAGCGCACAACCCTAGAGTCTGGCAAGACTGGCCCGAACGGGTAGGGGTACCTTTACCTTTACCTTTAAAAGGGTGTCAAAGAGGGAAGTGCTCTGGAATTAAGAGCAATCACTATTAAGTATGTACACACTCTTAAAAGCCAGACATTCAGTGTGATATCTCACACAGGTGGGGTCCTTTGCCCTCCTACAGAAGAAAGGCCTCTCATTGTGAGAACTGATCTTTTTGGCTAGGTAGCCTGGCTGAAGGACCAAGTTGCCGGGAGAAAAATGAAACTGTAAGTTGGAGAACTCATTAGTTCCAGAACAGTAGCACAGACAGATGACAAGAAGGGCATGTCCAAAGGATGAGTCATTGGGGGATTGGTGCTCCTTAAGTATGAAAATCCCTCCCAATGTTGCTGGACACTTACAAATAAGATTTTATACCCCTGTCATTCTTTCCAGAGGTTCCTGTGATTTTGTCTGTTGTTTCTTATATTATTGAGGACCTTCTCTGTTTTGGTTGGCATCCAAAATACCAATCCATATTTCACCACCCTATTTAACTTGGATCAAGAACAACAAACCTGTTGCCAATGACCCCTTTAATGATATCTGAATAACCTATTTACAATATTAGGGCTCCATCTGGAAGTACCCAAAGAGATGAAGGTAGCAGCACTGCTAGTGAACTAGAGAAAGCCTTGTCTGGCTCAGGAGCAAGGCAAGCATCAGGAAGGCGGAAGACATGGAGCAGGTGCTGCAAGAGACACACACACGGGGCACTTTGTTACAATGGCAGTGCATGTTACAAGGAAGGAGAAGCTACAGGGATTGAAAAGGCCAATCACCAATCAGCGGAGGAGGGGGGTAGAGTAAAGCAAGAGGCTGGTAAAGATGTTTGGTCTCCTGGAAGCCAATGGGCTTCCCGTGGTCCAATGAGCAGAGCGGCTAGACACCAAGTCTGGCTTTGACCTGACCAATGGAGACTTGTTTGCCTCCTCACGCTGCTGAGTGCTGGTGGTCAGCCACAGGGACTTCTTCTGCAGCTGCTTCCTGAAACCTGCCAATTTATTTTCTCAGCTGAAGAGGCCGACGAGATGCTGATCAAGTGCACTGGTGGCGTGGAAGCAGCCCTAGGCTATGCCAAGATGTGGTGCAAATACGTCAAGGAACTCTTGACCTGGGTTGACAAACGCCTGAATTACGGTGAGGCTGGTTTTGCATTATCCATGACCTAAACAGGCCATCAGACCCTCCAAACTCTCTTCTAACACAGACTCTTTTAAGTTAAAATCCAGGTGATATATTTCCACATTAGGCAGCCATAAAAAATGTCCCCACAAGCAATCCTGGCCAAAACAGCAGCAGAAGATGACATTAGAATGGGTGCACAGTGTTGCAACATACAAGAAGCATTCGGGAATCCAGCTGGATTTTCAGTAAGGCTTTATTCAGTTGCAGTCTTGCAGCATTGTAAAGCAGTCTTGGTACATTAAGATACACAAGATACAGGTGGAATTACATTCAGGGAGAAGCCATCACCTGAAGACAACCTTGCCTCTTTATGCTAGCTGGCAAGGAATCAATTAGGCTACGCCCCATGATGCTTAGTCATCACATGCTGCTGAGTCAGCATTCCCAATAAGCACAGTGTTTAACTCCTTGATACCCACAACACTCCAACACACAGTTCTTTCCATGAATCTTGCCACAAGGTAGGAGCAGCTTTCCAAAATCCCATGTTTTTGTGGCTACATAGAAAGAAGCTCTCTGCTCCTACTATATGTTTCCTTTGGAAATTCAGTCTATTGTTGTTTTCTGTTCATAGAAACTGAGTTTGCAAAGAACATCCTGAAGATCGCTGATGCTGGCAGGAGTGCCATTTTCCCACAGGTATTGTTTCCTAGTTGCTCCCTTCTGGGACTTCATTTCACAGGCTGTGTGAAATAGTTTCGGTATTGCCCTACGTTGTCTGATCTGTAGGGTCTTTGCTAGTCTCTCCCATGCAGAGCCTAAATCTATAAGGTGTGTGTGTACCCCCACGTTTACAGGTACCATTTTTCCAGTACGTATAAAGATGAATTCACCCATGCAAGGGCAAGTGTTCCAGGGTGCCACTTCCAATAATGCAGCACCCAAAGGCAACTGTTATTTTCTGGTATTATGTTCTCATCAGCTAGTTAATGGACATGACACACTTGAAAGCTAGCCTCTCTACTTGACAGAGCAAAATTAACTCTTATGTGCATTACACCATGCTATTAGCATTAATTCCATGTCTGTTTCATTCCTGCAGCTCTGAGAAGCAACCAGCATCCACTGTATGTCAGGGATGGGCAACCTGGTACCCCCAGGTGTTGCTGGATTGCGACGCCCACCTTCCTTCACCATTGGCCATGCTGGGGGGGGGGCTGATGAGAGTTGGAGCCCAACAACATCTGGAGCACCACACAGTTCCCTGTCCCTGTTCTATGTTGTACACTCAAACCTCTGTTCTCAAATGGCTCCGTTTTCAAATGTTTTGGCTCCCAAATGCCAAAGACCTGGAAGTAACTGTTCTGGTTTTAAAACAATTTTCAGAAGCTGAACTTCTGACACGGCTTCCGTTTTGAGTTTCCCTATTGTATTGAGGCTTCTGCTTTCAATTTTTGGTTGTTGGACGTTTCGGAAGTCGAATGGTCTTCCAGAGTGGATTACATTTGACAATTGAGGTTTGACTGTATCGTAGTGCCATGACACTAGCTTCTAATATGGCTGGGCTAAGTTGCAGCTAGAACCCCTAAAGCTTGATTCTCTGCTTTCTCCTTTAAGCAGGCAGAGGGGTTGTTGCTGAAAACCACTTCTGTGTGGTATGCAGCTAGTTTTGTGGATTGGCTCTGGTGCTTCAAAAGTCTCGAAAGCCAGTTGCAGTGCTGATGTGGACACTTGCCACGTGACGTGGCTGATCCACGGGGTGAGCTGTTCACATATTCCATGGTTACTGCATTGAGCCAGCAAATGAAACCGGCAGAGCAGTGCCACATACGTGAGATAGGAGGTCTTCTTTCATCGCTGTGCTAATAGGGAGACTGAGCATTCCCTGTAACCTGTAAGCTGGGATTTGAACCCAAACATCCTTGTTCCAGTCCCAACACTCTCAGTCCTAGAACCCATTGGCTCTGTGTTTTTGTCTTTTCAGACTTGTATGCCCTTACAGAATCTGTACACCATGACCATGGAGCATGACATCAGGGCAGGGAACTTGGCCATAGAGACGGCTGGGATTTTGCAAATGAAGGAATACTATCAGGTACAGTGTTTCTCAGCTTAGATGAGACACCATTTTACAAATGCAGCAACTAAAATGTCTCTTGGGCTTGCAATCCATTCTGCTGATTTGCCCAGGTCCCTTGGTCACTCGTGGTGTCTCCTGGATGCCATAGATTTGTAAATAATGAAACCTACTGCTGGAGATCTCACTTCCTGCACCCCACCTTGCCTTGCAGCCTCTTTGGGCGAAGAGGAATGAAATTGAGAAATGGCGGAAGGAATTCAAAGATCAGTGGCAGAAGGAGCAGAAAAGGATGGTAAGAGCAGATCTAGGAAAGGATCGTGGTGGGGGGGGAGGGAAAAAGCTGCAATCACTGGGAGGTCCCCTTTCAGGTGGGTGTGGGCCATGCAGTATTTCTCAGCTGGTTCCTGGGTAATGCATGCTGGGATTGATATGAAAGTGGAAGCTTGGGGAAGTACTAGGACAGGCATAGGCAAACTCGGTCCTCCAGCTGTTTTGGGACTACAATTCCCATCATCCCTGACCACTGGTCCTGTTAGCTAGGGATGATGGGAGTTGTAGTCCCAAAACATCTGGAGGGCCGAGTTTGCTTATGCCTGGACACATCATCCCTGTAACCCCTGTGCTCAAAGAAAGACAGTCTCACCAACACTTTCAAGTCTTCTTATCTGTCATCCCTTACCCTGCAATATTTCTCCAATAGAAAAGGGGGCCTCACCCCAACTATTGGTCAAAATGTATAAAAGGGTGTTAGAAATGCAAAGAAACAGAGGGGACATGTATACACATGTGGTAGGGATGTAAGAAAGCTAAGGAATATTGGGAGAAGATATACACAGAAATTTTAAAAAATGCTAAAGTTGCCATTTCCAAAAGACCCAGAGATGTTCCTTTTGGGTATAATAGAGGCTGAGAGACCTAGGAATGTATTAAATCTTTTTCTTTATGCAACTGCTGTGGCCAGAATAGCCTATGTACAAATGTGGAAGGATAAAACAGACCAATGAAAGTGGATTGGCAGAATAAGTTAATAGAATATGTGGCGTTAGCAATATTGACTGCAAAGATAAGAAGCCAGGATGAACATACCATAAGAGACGAGTGGGAAAACTTTGGAGAATATTTAAAGAATTACAGGTGAAACTCGGAAAATTAGAATATCGTGGAAAAGTTCATTTATTTCAGTAATTCAACTTAAAAGGTGAAACTAATATAATTGTGATGATCAACTACTCAAATCTCTTATCTGATGAGAGCAGCTTTTGCATCTCATTTGGAAACCAAGGACCCAGAGTCTGGAGGAATAATGGGGAGGCACACAATGCCAGATGCTTGAAGTCCAGTGTGAAATTTCCACAGTCTGTGTTGATTTGGGGAGCCATGTCATCAGCTGGTGTTGGTCCACTGTGCTTCATTAAGTCCAGAGTCAACAGTCAACACAGCCATCTACCAGGAGATTTTGGAGCACTTCATGCTTCCTTCCACAGATGAGCTTTATGGGGATGCTGACTTCATTTTCCAGCAGGACTTTGGCACCTGCCCACACTGCCAAAAGTACCAGCACCTGGTTCAATGCCCATGGGATTACTGTGCTTGATTGGCCAGCAAACTCGTCTGACCTGAACCCCATAGAGAATCTATGGGGCACTGCCAAGAGAAAGATGAGAGACATGAGACCGAGCAATGTAGTAGAGCTGAAGGCTGCTATTGAAGCATCCTGGTCTTCCATAACACCTCAGCAGTGCCGCAGGCTGATAGCATCCATGCCACGCCACATTGAGGCAGTAATTGATGCAAAAGGGGCCCAAACCAAGTACTGAGTATATATGCATGCTTCTACTTCTCAGAGGTCCAATATTTGCAATCCTTGTTTTGCTGATTTCATTTAATATTCTAATTTTCTGAGATTATTAATTTGGGGTTTTCATCAGCTGTACGCCATGATCATGACAATTATAAAAAATAAAGGCTTGACATATCTTGCTTTGCATGTCATGAGTCTATCTCATATATTAGTTTCACCTTTTAAGTTAAATTACTGAAATAAATAAACTTTTTCACGATATTCTAATTTTCTGAGTTTCACCTGTATAACAGTTACATAACTCTCCAAGTAGGAATAGATATATGAATAGCAGCTAAATCAATTAAAAGGGGTATAAAGATATGTAGCACAACTAAGAGTAAAAAGAAACCCATGGAGGGTGGGGTGTGTGGGGAAGTCGAATAATGTAGAAGAATATTGTGAAAGCATAAATAAAATTTTAAAAAAGAAAATACGGATGTCCCATTCCATAATGATAATTTGACTATTTATACCCCACACATCTTACTGGGGTTGCCCCAGCACTCTGGGAAGCTTCCAACAGATATAAAAATATAATAAAACACTAGACATTAAAAAACTTCCCTTCAGAGGCTCGGGGGTTGGATAACTCCATATCCCCCAATAGTTCTCCAATGAAAATAGGGATATTCTAAGGAAAAGTGGGACATTCCAACCAGGATCAAATCAGAAACTGGGATGGCTTCTCTAAATTAGGGATGTCCCTGGAAAATAAAGACACTTGGAGGGTCTGTGATCCTTTTTCGTCCCAAGGACCGTAGCCAGAGGTGCTCTCAGAGGCATTACATGCCTTTCTCTGTCAACTTTAATTAAAAGCCATACAGACTTCCAGCAAGGCAAGGTGGCGAGTGCCACAGCTGCGCAGGGCTCCTGAGGACCGCCAGCACCAACTGTGCTGCTTGGCTGGTCTCCATGCTGCTGCAGCTGCCATGGGGGGAGGGACCGGCCCGTCCTGTCCCAATGTCCAGATTTCGACAGCATTCTGCTCACACAAGGCCTGATCCCCCAGTAGAAACAGCAAACATTGGTAACATTAAAATCACAAACCATGCCCCAGTAGAAGCTACCCTCAAAATAGGAGAAGAAGCACAAACTATCTCATCATGGTCCTTCAGCCCCATCCTAACCACAAACCAACTAGCTAGAGAGAGTCTCTTGAAAACTCTCCAGAACTGCTTTAAGGACAATGATGTGGTTGACATTACAACCCCCTCTCTTTGGGACACAATGAAAGCGGTCAACAGAGGAGCCTTCATAAAGAAGAGGGCATCCATTAAAAAAAAAAAACCTCCTCAAAAATTGATAAATTCAAACAAGACATTACAACCCTCTCATCACACTACAAACAAACAGAAGCCAAAAAAACTCCTTAAACTCATAGAACAAAAAAGAAGGAAAATAAACTTTCTAGAAATCAATAAAACAATTATTAACATCCTATATTCTAAACGTTTTTACGAATATGGGGGGAAGAACTCCAGACTATTAGCAAACAGATGTAGGAAAAGATTACTCAAAATAAGAATACACTGTGTCACATAAAAATACACTGTAAAAATACACATAAGAATACACGGTGTCACATAAAAAAACACATGGTAACATAACATCCTCCACCAAAGAAATAACCTCAGAATTTGCTGAATACTATCTGACTTTATGTGGGGACGCGGGTGGCGCTGTGTGTAAAACCTCAGTGCCTAGGACTTGCCGATCGTATGGTCAGTGGTTCGAATCCCCGCGGCGGGGTGAGCTCCCGTCGTTCGGTCCCAGCTAGCCCACCTAGCAGTTTGAAAGCACCCCTAAGTGCAAGTAGATAAATAGGTAGCGCTTTATAGCGGGAAGGTAAACGGCGTTTACGTGTGCTGCGCTGGTGCAGGCTCGCCGGAGCAGCTTCGTCACGCTGGCCACCTGACCCGGAAGTGTCTTCGGACAGCGCTGGCCCCCGGCCTCTTAAGCGAGATGGGCACGCAACCCCAGAGTCGGTCACGACTGGCCCGTACGGGCAGGGGTACCTTTACCTTTACTATCTGACTTTTAGAAGACATCTGAAGGCAGCCATGTTTAGGGAAGTTTTTAATGTTTGATATTTTATCACTTTTATTATTATTAATAATATTCTGTTGGGAGCCACCCAGAGTGCCTGGGAAAACCCAGCCAGATGGGCGGAGTAAAAATAGTAAATTTATTACTACTACTACTACTGAATTTTATGCCAATCTATACACCTCCCGCAACCCGCAACAGGAAATCAGAAGATTCCTAACAGGACTGACCATGCCAACCTTAACTGCAAAGGAACAAGAATTCATGCACAGCCCTATCACCCCACAGGAAATAGAGACAGTATTCAAAAACCTGTAACCACCCAAAGCCCCAGGCCCAGATAGCTATACAGCAGAATTCTACAACAAATTCAAAGAACCCCTGATGCCTTACATGACCTGCCTATTTAACGACATCACAAAAGGGCTCCCCATCCCTAAAACCTGAATCTCTTCCAAAATAGTTTCTATCCTAAAGCCACTCAAAGATAGCCTCAAAATAGAATCATACTGACCAATCTCATTGATAAATCAATCAGTCACATCAATCCTGGCTAACCGCCTAAAAATCTTCCTACACAAACTAATTGCCCTGGACCAGGCAAGCTTTGTCCCTGTTGCAGCATAACAGACCCCATTAGGAGACTACAGTGGTACCTCGGGTTAAGTACTTAATTCGTTCTGGAGGTCCGTTCTTAACCTGAAACCATTCTTAACCTGAAGCACCACTTTAGCTAATGGGGCCTCCCGCTGATACCACGCCACCAGAGCACGATTTCTGTTCTCATCCTGAAGCAAAGTTCTTAACCCGAGGTACTATTTCTGGGTTAGCAGAGTCTGTAACCTGAAGCGTACGTAACCTGAAGCATATGTAACCCGAGGTACCACTGTACTAAATCTGGTAGAACACAGCAAATCAACCAAACTCCCATTGACAGTCATGTCATCTACATTTGCATAACACTGAAGTACATATTCATGAAAATTCAATGCAATACTGCTGGATTTTGCCTTCCTGTACTCTGGCCAGTGAGTGTTTAGGCACCAGGGCAATTGAAAAACACATGATACAGGCTGTTCAGTGCTGTTAAGTTTTTGAAAGGAATTATAGCATGCACTTAATATAGTGAATAATTTCAAATATGCTGGTCTATTGGTATTTAGATTGCACTGACTTCCCCTGCTTCTCCCGCTGCTCTTCTACCTCCATGTCTATTAAATGTGATTAGAAGTGTAATGTGAGCAACTCCTGTGAGGTGCTGTTTGTGCAGCTGCTGTTTCCTATGGTGTGGATGGGAGAAACCAAGCCTGATAAGCCGATGACAAATATAGAATGAATCTGCAAGTAGTGCTGGATGGCCACCCCTGTTGAGCTACTTCCAATGTAGCCTTTTGTTTTTACTAATTAGTTATAGGTAAAGGTAAAGGTACCCCTGCCCGTACGGGCCAGTCTTGACAGACTCTAGGGTTGTGCGCTCATCTCACTCTATAGGCCGGGGGCCAGCGCTGTCCGGAGACACTTCCGGGTCACGTGGCCAGCGTGACAAGCTGCATCTGGCGAGCCAGCGCAGCACACGTAAACGCCGTTTACCTTCCCGCTTGTAAGCGGTCCCTATTTATCTACTTTGCTTTCGAACTGCTAGGTTGGCAGGCGCTGGGACCGAACGACGGGAGCACACCCCGCCGCGGGGATTCGAACCGCCGACCTTTCGATCGGCAAGCCCTAGGCGCTGAGGCTTTTACCCACAGCGCCACCCGCGTCCCTACTAATTACTTACTAGCTCACAAAAGGTTTTGCTTGCCCAGTTCCCAGAGATACCTCCTTCAGGGCTCATCCAGACTTGTGCTTCTTAAAAGACACTTTAAAAAGCATAGGTCCGAGGGTTTCTTTGCTTGTCCCCTGCTTACTAGTCACAGGTCTGAGTGGTTTTGCTCTTCACCCACCCCTTTCCCCCAGAAAATCCACTCTCTAGCCATAAATCAAAGCAAGCATTAATCTGGAGAAAACTTCATTGACATTTGCTTTGATTCAGCGGTTTTCTTTGGGGTGGGAAGCAGTGGGGCAAGGAGCCCATCGTCATTTATGACACTCGGGGGGGGGGGGGCTTCCAGTTGTAGGATACTTCTCCTGCTCCATCAACTGGAAGCAAATTTTACTTGCCAAGGCCACTAAGCCTATAGCCATTTTCAAGCCTGATTTAGAAGGGTTACAGCCGGGAACCACACTTTAAATCCACAAAAATGTGCTTTCCCCCCCAAAGTTTATTGCAATTTGGTTTTAGCACTTTGATCAGGAAGGAAAGAAAAGCTCCCTAGATGCCTCCTAATGCAGGTCTGAGCTTCTAAATGAAAAAATGACCCAGAGCCACAGCTGGTCAGACATGCCCTTGTAACTCCTCCTTCAATTGCAGAATGATTCCAGGTCCTCGATGCAGAAGGCACGGCTCCACTACCTCCAGCGCTGCGAGGATCTGGAGAAAGCTAAAGTGCTAAGTGCCAGAGCAGAAGAAGAATGGCAGGCCACTGCAGGCAGCGGCAACAAGCAACTGGAGAAGCGGCGTCGATGTCGTGATGAGCTGCAGTCAAAGGTATCAGTCTGAGATCCTAAAGCCTATGCAGTTTGTCCCTTTGTCATTTGCAATCTGGGGTCTAGTTCAGACCTCGGATTTTGGAATTCAGGTCCTCCTAACAAAGAGCCTGTAAATGTGTGGCAAAGACTCAGATGCCAAAGGTGAGTTGGGAAACAGGGCCAATGACAAGTTTTTGTGGGCTACAAAACTGGGTGTGGAGGATCTCTGCATGGGAGACCAAATGACAGCAAAGCAACTCACACAGAAAGGTTGATGGCCTATTGGTCTGGTCACCCATGGTAAGACCCCGTGGTATTAGTTGGTTAAAATCTCTATTATCTTTGGTCTGTTTGTAGTCATAGCCTTTTATATACTAAACCTTTATGCTTTACCTTATCCATTTAATGCTCCCAACCCTTCTTTTAGCTTCTTTTATATTTTTATAGTCTTTTATATATACCTTCTCTTTAGATCTCCAAAATGTTTTATAGATTTTAAATGATTGTACTCCACCCTACATCTATGACCGTAATAAACAGTTTTGTTTGCAAAGCCTAGAAGGCCCTTTAGAATACGGCAGTATTTTATTGTATTATTTTATTAAGTGCTGTCCATGGAGGCCCAGGTCAATTATATGTCCAGGGCAGTTGTCTTCCAGCTCCATCTGGTATGCAGGCTGAGACCCTCCCTGTCCGCAGACTGTCTCACCAGAGTGGTGCATGTTCTAGTTATCTCTCGCTTGGACTACTGCAATCACCTTTGAAGGTGATTTGAAAACTACAACTAATCCAGAATGTGGCAGCTAGAATGGTGACTGGGAGTAGCCACCGGGACCATATAACACAGGTCCTAAAGGATCTAGATGGGCTCCCAGTACAACAACAACAACAAATTATTTATACCCAGATATAATTTATAGATGACTGGGTTTCCCCAGCTACTCTGGGTGGCTATTTACATGTGCAGACTTTATATAATTCACTAGGTAACACATTTCAATGGAAAAGTCAACTCAGAAGATATACAGGTCACTCTAACAATAAGAAATGCAGTTTCAGTCCAGAAGAATTTTGTTTCTCCTTTCCTCTGAAGAGGAGTTTCCAAGCACAATTCAAAGTGTTAAAGCCCTAAACAGCCTTGGCCCAGTATATCTGGAGGAGCATCTCCACCCCCATTGTTCAGCCCAGACACTGAAGTCTTCCTCCGAGGGTCTTCTGCTGGTTCCTCACTGCGAGAAGTGAGGTTGCAGGGAACCAGGCAGAGGGCCTTCTCAGTAGTGGCACCCACCCTGTGGAACACCCTCCCATCAGATGTCAAAGAAATAAACAACTATCTGACTTTTAGAAGACACCTGAAGGCAGAGCTGTTTAGGGAAGTTTTTTATGTTTGGTGTTTTATTATGCTTTTATATTGGTTGGAAGCTGCCTAGAGTGGCTGGGGCAACCCAGTCAGATGGGCAGGGTACAAATAACAAAATAATAATAATAATAATAATAATAATAATAATAATAATAATAAATTAATTTTGTTTGAAGATTTCAGCTTGTGTGTAACCAAAAGGTTATTGCATGTCTTTCTGGCTGCTCTCGTCAGACTTTTATCAACTACCTCCCTGAGTAACCTCTCTCAAGAAGCCGATTGCCTAATGTGGATATTGAAGGAAATTTGGGGTTTGCCCAGTGACTTTGAAACTCCAAAGGAAATTAACAAAGGGATCAGAGGAAGGCTGCAACAAACGGCGTCGTTTTTCTATGTGACAATGAACCTCAAACTAAAACTGCATGTATGATTTCAGCTTAGTTTTAAAGTAAATTTTACAAAATTTATTTTGGGTGCATAATTTGGCTTTTGTGGTAGAGGTATCCACATAGGGCACTTCCTCAGGTACCCTCAGAAATGTGTAAGTACCCCCTTCTTGCATCTCCAAGTCAGCACTTTCCATTCCTTCCCTCCGTTTTTATTTCACTGCCCACAGGTTCAGGAACTGGAAGTTGTCTATCGAAGCTGTGTCTATGATGCTAACATCCACCGGCAGGAACTGGAGAAAGTCAGGGAGAGAATCATCTCCCACATTCGCAAACTTGTGTACCAAGGAGATGAGGTGCTGAGGCGGGTAAGTCGTGATCTGTGCTGAGGGAATATCCCTGGCCCTTTCCTACTCTTCTCCAGGTGCAAAGACAGAAGTGACTCAAGGAGGCCTCACCCCAATTAATTACCTACCAATTAAGAGAGGCAGGAAACTTGAGTGCAGAAAGGTCTAGGGATATAAGAAGGCAGCAATTTCCATTTGTCATAACTGTTTCCATTCTGCTGCAGTTCAGTTTCCGTTAAATACTATGCTGCTTGTCTGGCTGTCCACTATTTAACGTAAATGGTTTTACAAACCTATGGTGCAACTGCATTTGGAATACTGTGTACAGTTCTGCTCTGTTGGAAGAATCTCAGAAAAGGGCAATAAAATGATCAAGGGGAGAGGGCAAATCCCCTTGAGAAAAGGTTGTGGCAGTTGGGCCTTTTTGACTTAGAGAAAAGGCAAGTAAGAGGTGACATGACAGAAGTTTATAAAATTATGCATAGCATAGAGAAAGTGGAGAGAGAAAGTTTTTCTCCCTCTCTCATAACACTAGGACTCATCAACATCCAATGAAGCTGAATACTGGAAGACAAAAGAAAGTCCTTGTTCACGCAGCACAGAGTTAAACTATGGAACTCCCTCCCACAGGAGGGAGTGTTGGCCACCAACCCGGATGCCTTTAAAAGAGGATTAGACAAATCCATGGATGACAAGGCTTCTACGGCTACCAGCCCACTGGCAATGTTCCCCCTCCCCTCTCAGAGGTCATCTGCCTCAGAACGCCTGTTGCTGGGAATCAGACAGGGCAGAGTGTTGTTGTGCCCACATCCAGCTTGCCACAGATTTCCCACAGGCCCCTTGTTGGCCCCTGGGATGCTCTAAACAGGACGCTGAATAAGATGGACCATTGGTCTGATGCAGCAAGCTGATCTTACATTATTCTACTTATTATTATTACCCTATCCTTCGGCCTAAGGTCCCAAGGCGGGTCACAGCAGTTAAAACACAATATTAAGAAGCAGTTTAAAGCAACTTAACACCACAAAAATAAGGTGAGTCCTATGTATCCCTTTTGATTGGCCCCCATGAAGCTGGATTCTCAGTCCTCACCTGGAAGTGTCTGGAGAAGGATGGGACACAGCTCTCCAATGAGAGGCCAAGGCAGACAGGGGACGGAACAGAACTTTGGGCCTTTGTTGGAAGGGGAAAGGGGAATTGGAAAAGGGCAGTTGAAGAAGGGAAAGGGAGAGAAAAAGCAGGAAGGAGGAGGAACAACAACATAAGTAACGGAACGAAAGAGCCAGGCAGGTCAAACACAGAGACACAAAGGAAAATACTTTTGAGAGACTTGCACAGCTGCTGCAGTTGGAGAAATGCACAGGCTTGAGAGAAATGATCGGGGAAAGTAATGCTGATTATCTGTATTGCAGCACAGGGCATTTAGGTGAAGTCCTCAGAACACTCATAGACAGCATCTCATCAACGTATACGTACAGTCATACCTTGGGTTAAAGTTGCTTCAGGTTGCGCTCTGCGGTGACCCAGAAGTAACGGAACACGTTACTTCCGGGTTTCGCTGCTTGCGCATGTGCAGACGCTCAAAATGATGTCACGCGCTTGGGCAGAAGCTGCGAATCGTGACACGCAGACACACAGACACGGGTTGCGTTCGCTTCAGGATGTGAACGGGGCTCTGGAACGGATCCCATTTGCATCCAGAGGTACCACTGTACCATGGTTTTGGCGTGTTTAGATAAATTTGCAAGTATTACCCTGTGACACTGATGATCAGCACTGCTTTGCCCCTGTTGTGTATTTGAGGGCGGCGGGGGGAGAGTCTGAGAGACAACAGCTTGCCTATGGACACCTGTGAGCTTTGGAATTTTAATTACAGCTCCCATCATTAACCAACAGGTAAAACCTGTGTTGGATTTTGCAGTTTTCAAAAGCAACAGGCACCTCCAACTGTCCGATTTCATATATTTTTTTAATATATTTATTCAAATTTTACAAAAAAGAACACGTAAGTTTACAAAAATAGAGTTTACAAAATAGAGAAAGTTTACAAAATAGAGAAAATTATAACAGCAATTAACAAACTAAAATTATAACAACAGTTAACAAACTAAGAAAAAACCCACATAGAAAAAAGAATAAAAAGGGTACAAAATGGGAAAAAAGCAGACAGTTGAAAAAGAAATTTAAAAAGAAAAAATATCCATTTTTCAATATCTTTGGACTCATTTACTTGTTTCCTTGACCTCCTCTCACCTCCCCTTTTTGTATTCCCATTCACAAAGACATTTCAGCAAATCCTTACCCTCTTTCAACCATCTTTACTCTATATCTTAACCTATTATAACTATATATTTTCATTCATTTTTTTTAATCCTTTATTTTTATTCCAACAGTTAAAACCATATGTACATCATCCATTAAAACAAAACAAACAAGAAAAAAAAATAACAACAAAAACCAGAATCAAATTCCATAATGTTTAGGTACTAAATCATTATACAGATCTGTTACACTATTTGACTTCCCATCACCATGACGTGAGCTGTAACTAAGCAATATATTCCACAGTGTCTTTTACTAATCGTTATATCAACCTCGCAGTTTTTATATTATACCTGCTGTGATTTTGATGTTTCCTAAAACCGTCTCCATGTATGAGAGAAATTTATTCCAGTCGCTAATAAATTTGGTATTTTTCTGTTGCCTGATCTTCTGTGTCATCATTGCTAGATCAATATATTCAATTAACTTGTTTTGCCAATCTCTGATCGTTGGGATGTTAGGTGTTTTCCAATTTTGGGCTAACAGTATCCTAGCGGCTACCGTGGCATACTGAAATAGGGTTTGGTCATCTTTCTTAATTTCGTCCCCCACCATTCCTAGAAGGAATGCCTCGGGCTTTTTAGGGAAGGTGTACTTTAGGATCTTTTTTAGCTCGTCGTATACAGAGCCCCAAAACCTTTTTACTTCCTCACAGGTCCACCACATGTGGTGGAAGTCTCCCTCTTTCTTCTTACACTTCCAGCAGGTCTTATCCCTGGTCTTATACATTTTTGCTAATTTTGTTGGGGTGATGTACCAACGGTACATCATCTTTTCCATGTTCTCTCGTAGTCCGACACAAGCTGAAAATTTCATATCCTTATTCCATAGTTTTGTCCATCTTTCATAATCTAGAGGATAACCTAGGTCTATCGCCCACCTAATCATAACCTCTTTGACCTCCTCATCCATCGTATCCCAGTCTAATAGTTGGTTATACATTTTGGTTAAGAGTTTGGTCTTCCCTTCAATTATCTCTAGCTGAAATTTGGACTTGTTCTTACTCATTCCCGCTTTTTTATGTTCATTCCATAAGGAGTTAATTTGGTGGAATTGTAGCCATCCCGTTAGTTTATCTTTTAATTCTTCGTAGGGTCTAATTTCCCATCCTTTATCAGATCTTATCAAGAGATCAGCGTATGTCCACCTTTTACCTTCCATGTTTAGTTTGTTGATTGTTAGGATATCAATGGGTGACAGCCACCACGGGGTGTCCTTTTCTACCAATCTCTTACATCTATTCCATACTTCTAGTAGCGCCCCTCTTTATATATTTTCATTCATTATCAATCCATATTTGCATATTCTTGTTAATCTTAATACCAATACCACTTATTTTCAATCCAACATCATTTTAACATTCATTAATTTTACAGTATTTCTGCAAATAGTCTTTAAATTTCTTCCAGTCTTCTTCCACCGACTCTTCTCCCTGGTCTCGGATTCTGCCAGTCATTCCTGCCAGTTCCATATACTCGATCACCTTCGTCTGCCATTCTTCCAGTGTGGGTAAATCTTGTGTCTTCCAATACTTTGCAATCAGTATTCTTGCTGCTGTTGTTGCATACATAAAGAAAGTTCTATCCTTCTTTGGCACCAATTGGCTGACTATGCCCAAGAGAAAGGCCTCTGGTTTCTTCAGGAAGGTATATTTAAATACCTTTTTCATTTCATTATAGATCATCTCCCAGAAAGTCTTAATCTTTGGGCACGTCCACCAAAGGTGAAAGAATGTACCTTCAGTTTCTTTACATTTCCAACATTTATTATCGGGCAAATGATAGATTTTTGCAAGCTTGACTGGTGTCATGTACCACCTGTAAATCATTTTCATAATATTCTCTCTTAAGGCATTGCATGCCGTAAATTTCATACCTGTGGTCCACAACTGTTCCCAGTCAGCAAACATAATGTTATGTCCAAAGTCCTGTGCCCATTTAATCATAGCAGATTTAACCGTTTCATCCTGAGTGTTCCATTTTAACAGCAAGTTGTACATTCTTGAAAGTATCTTAGTTTTGGGATCTAACAGTTCTGTTTCCAATTTTGATTTTTCCACCTGGAAGCCAATTTTTTTGTCCAAATTATAGGCCTCTCTTATTTGATAATAATGAAGCCAGTCTCGCACTTTGTCTTTTAATTTCTCAAAACTCTGCAATTTCAATATGTCTCCTTCTTGCTCCAAAATTTCCCAATATTTCGACCACTTGGCCTCCATATTGAGCTTTTTCTGAGCCTTTGCTTCCATCGGTGACAACCACCTTGGGGTTTTGTTCTCAAGTAAGTCTTTATACCTTATCCAGACACTAAACAATGCTTTCCTGACAATATGGTTTTTAAATGCTTTATGTGCATTTACCTTGTCATACCACAAATATGCATGCCACCCAAAAACATTATTAAAACCTACTAAATCCAAAATGTCTGTGTTCTCAAGAAGCAGCCACTCTTTCAACCAACAGAATGCTGCTGATTCATAATAAAGTTTAAGGTCTGGCAGGGCAAATCCACCTCTTTCTTTTGCAGCAGTTATTATTTTAAATTTTATTCTGGGCTTCTTGCCCTGCCAGACAAATCTAGAAATATCTCTCTGCCACTTCTTGAAGATTTTGTCTCTTTTTCATCTGCCAAGCTAACAATTTCCCACATTTATTAGCCGATTCAAAAGTTCTTTGTCTCATTTGTTTAATTTTCCATTCAATTTCCTGACTCGTCATCTTCATATATTGCACTTGATATAACTTTATATCTCTCAGAATCTCTTGTGAGTTAGGTTTCACTCTCAATTTCTTTTCGCCCTCTTTTATTTTTTTCCAATATTTTTTCTTTTTTCTCATTTTGAGCTCTCCTTTTTATTGAATTCTATTGAATCAGAAACCCCCTCATAACTGCTTTACTTGCGTCCCAGATTACTCTTTTTTCAATGGTTGTGTTCAAATTTATCTCAAAATAGTCTCTCAAAGTTTTTTGGGCCTTCTTGATAACCTCTTGATATCTGAACAAGGTGTCATTCATCCTCCATCTGAAGGAACCGGTTGGTGTTAGTTTCATCTCCATTCTCACGGCATTATGGTCGGAGCACATTTTAGGGCAGATCTCTACTTTTCGGATCTTAGGTGCCAATCCTCTAGTTATCCAGATTTGGTCAATTCTTGTCCATGTCATTTTGGCTTCAGAAAAGAAGGTTCCCTCTCTACCCAGGGGGTTCCTAGTTCTCCAAGAGTCAATCAGGTCCATATTGTCAGTCAGTTCAAAAAAGGTTTTTGGTAGTCTGCCATCTTTAGTTACTACCTGTCTCTGTGACTTGTCTATATTTGTGGATACCACTCCATTCATATCTCCCATCAAAATAATGTTATAGTCCATGTAATCCAACAAAGTCTCATGCAACTTCTTAAAAAAATCAGATTTCCCCTCGTTCGGTGCATATACTCCTACAATCATAAATTTTTCTCCTTGTGTTTGAATTTCAATTGCTACAAATCTTCCTTGTTCATCTTTAAAAACAAATTTCGGTGATAGGCTCTCTTTTGCATAAATAACTACTCCTCTCTTTTTAACCTTGTCCGATGAAATAAATTCTTGGCCCAATCTTTTATTAATCAGAATTTTCCTATGTAGCCTTATCACATGTGTTTCCTGTAGACAAATCAAGTCCAATTGCTCTCTTTTCAATAAATGAAAGACTTTCTTCCTTTTCTCCAGGGAATTGAGTCCATGAACGTTCCAGCTTAATAGTTGCAGAGACATGATGTATTTAAATCGCTTTTCCTCTTACTGCTCCCAGTAGTTCCTCTTTTTCTGACGGTGGTATCACTTTCACTAACTTGTCCTGTCCCAAAGGTAGTGGTGCTTTGTCTAGTATTCCTGGTCTTAGGGCTCTTAGCTCCTCTTCACCTTCTTTTTGCAAGTCTTCTCCGTAGTCTCTCAGAAATTTTTCTTTATCCTCCACTGATCTTATTTTGAACTTTTTGCCTTTGTAGGTAAAGGATAGTCCTTGGGGAAATTCCCACTTAAAAATGATTCTATTACCTTTCAGCAGGGTCACCAAATCTCCGTAGTTCGACTTCAGGTCCAAAAGATATTTTGGAATATCCTTAAATATCTCCACTCTTGATTTGTTTATTTCCAAGGCGTTCTGGTAATGCAAACTCAATATTTTGTCTCTTTCCTCTTTTGATCGAAGGGTAATCAAACAGTCTCTCACCCTGTTCTTTCTCCCTCCTCTTCCAAGTCTAAAAGCACTTATTATCTTGAAGTCTTGCTTATCATCCAGTTTCCAAAAGTTTGCAAATTCCTGTGTTAGAAAGTCACTTAGACTGTCTTTCTCAAGTTCAGGTACCGCTCTAATCCTCAAATTGGTCTGCTTCTCCTTCAGTTCAATCATAGACAAGATTGACTGGTGGGCCCCAAGCTGTGTCTGATGGTCTCCAAGCTGTTTACATATCGGTGGTATCTTTTCCTCTACAGCCACTGCTTTTTCTTTTGCTTCCTGAGCTGTCATTTGATTTGACGCAGATTCTTGCAGCAATCTTTCAATAGATTCTGTATTTGAATTCACCTTCTGCCCCAAGTTGTTGATACTTGTAGTATTTTGGTCAATTTTATTTGTCGCTTCAGTAACTTGTTTGCTTAATTTGTCCAAAGATTCATAAATTTTGTTTAAGACTGAAGTAAATCCTTCTTCCGATGTCATACCTTTTGCCCCAGTTTGTGCTGAGTCCTCCCCTTGTGATACAGGAGGGCCAGATGCAGATGCTCTGCGTTGCTGCGGTATTGCGCTAGTCTGTTGATGTCTGACCTTGCCCCATCTTGTTGTCTTTTCATCCATAACACTTTTGTTTAAGTCAAGGTCAATCCCACGATCAGACTTGTTTTTGCAGTGGAAGTTCCCAGGCTGGTTAGAAGTGGAAATTTCCCCAACCTGTTGTAGCACTTTCAGTAAGCCTCTAGGGGGACACAGTAACAGTCAATAAGGATGCCACAGAGTATCTTACCAACTTCTCAAAAGCCCCCCTTCAGCAAAATAAATAACAGTTTCAAGTTCAAAATATCTCCCTTGCAGAGTTAGCTGTCAGTAAGCTACATTGTCCATAAATAGTGCGTCTCTCAATGTAACAATTGTATTTAATCTTGACAGTCCGTTCCCAAGAGTTGAGTGGTGGTCTTATATCCCTTTATCCTTCTCTTCTTACTCCCTTCAAATTTTTATAGGCAGAAAATACTTTCACTTCTTCCCTCCCTCTCCTTCAATTCAGGGAGGGAATTCCTTTGATTTGACGTTTGGATTTTAAGTCTTTTTAATGCTCCTTTCCCGGTCTTAGCTTAAACAGTCTTTGCTTTAGTCTTTATACAAACCGGAAGGTGGACTTCCTGTTTACACCTTCCCGCTTCAGTGCCAAATTAAGTCTTAATTTTCTTTATCCTCCAATCTTTAAAACTTGCCCTACTCACGGGTTGTTGTTTAGTAGCCGAATTGTCACAGGAAAAGAGGTCAGCACTTTCTGGTAACAGCTGCGCGGCTTCACTCCACGGAAGTAGCGATCAACTCTCAGCACCGCGCCAGCCCCCGTTCCGCTTCCGGAGCCCCTCTCGGGATTCCCTTGCAGGTTGGGGGGGCGCTTTAGGTGCCCGCCGAGTCCCACGGTCACAGGCTTCTCCCGCCTGTGATTTTCAAGAGGGTCCCCGCTTCGCTGTAGCGGGAAAACCCAGCTTCCGCGGAGCTTCTCCCTCCAGTCTAGAGGGAAACCGCCATTACCGATGGCGCCGCCTCCGGAAGTCCCAACTGTCCGATTTCAGCATCAGTCTGAATTGCATTCTATTACTACACAGTCGGTGGAGGAACAAGAATCATTACCATTGCTTGCTATTGTTTTCAAGAACATTTAGTTTAAAGTGAGCCTAGCAACAGAATAGATTGAAAACACCTCCTGTTGGCTGATATGATTTTCACTGTTCCCTTTCTCCAGCAATTCTCGATACATTTTGCAGCTTGTTCTATTTGGGTTTCAGTCTCCTTTAGTCTCCTTTTGCTAGTTGCCGCAGCCAAGCCCCAAGATGAGGAAGACTTTAGAGGGGAGGACTTTGGGGGCTCGCTTGGGGGGGGTGGAGAACAGAAGACAGAAAGCAGCATCCAGGGAAAGAACTAGACTGAAGTGGAAAGAGAGACCATGGAAGCTGTGCTATATGGTGTCTGGACCATCTCCGAAGTTGCAAGGGGAAAACCTCCTTGGCTGGGCGTTCAAAAGAGATGTGGTCAGAAGTTGGGCTGCCTAGGAGTTATGGGGATATGGAGATGGTGGATGGATTCAACCTCCTTCCACTTATTCATGATGTGTGTGTGATAACCGTCATCATAGATGGGGCCAGCCTCAAGGATTGGTGTCATGGGGTACTTCCTGAGGGTGCATGTCTTCAGGAGGCCTCACTGCCCTTGGCTGGTCCTGGCCTGCCTGTGGCTGTTGGAGAGCATCTGTAGGCACAAGGAAACAGCAACACCTTCCCAGCAACACCAATGACTCAGAAGAAGCTTGCTGGTGGGGAGGAGGAACAGCCATGGCAGCCTGGCAGCTTCAAAACACCACTGAGTAGCTGAAGTGAGGTGAGAGAAAGGGAGGAATGTAAATTACATGTGCGGACACCTTGTGCAAGCTTCCACCAGATGAAAAACAAAGTAAAAGCAGGTGAACAAGAAAAGCAGGAGACAAACACACAGCAGCTGAGGAACAGAGCCCACATCTTCCTTCCCTCTAATATCATTCATCTTGCTTGTTGTAGGAATCTGATTTTGAGCCCTAACAGCTGACAGCAGAGCTTTCAAGCAAAAAAAAAAGAGTGAAACCAGCACGGAATAGCTATAAACGTCATCAGCAGGAGGTGTGGAACAAGAGAAGTGATGCCATAATTGTGGCAGCCAATAGAAAGGTGTCTTTGGTCCTGCAGTTTTCAGCTAACTTTACATTACATTTAAATTTCATTTTTATGAAAACTATAATATCTAGATTTAGGGTTCTTTTTAAAATAGTTATTAATCAATTAACTGTTTAGGAGAATTTAGGAGAAATCCCAGTTCTGAACTTCCAAATGATGAAAAGTCATTTATGGTCATATTGTCATATTTTGTTTCCCTAAGGTCACCTTGAGGATGTTCATGTTCCAGAAAGCCCAGGCAGAGCGAATCCCTGCAGGATACCAGAACCTGACTGAGATCTGCAAGCCCTACAAGGTTGGGGCAAAGTACCTGGAGTTCATTCAGAACCTGCAGAAAAACGAGCTTCCGGTGGAGGTGTACAAATTTGAGGAGTTTATATCCTCAGGGCAGAGGTAAGGAAGCACATTTCTTACTCCTCCTCCACACCTCAAGCAATGTAATTGAAGGGAATGCAGTGGATGTAGCCTACCTTGATTTCAGCAAGGCATTCGACAAGGTGCCCCATGATATTCTTGTAAAGAAGCTGGTAAAATGCGGTCTTGACTATGCTACCACTCAGTGGATTTGTAAATGGCTGACTGACCGAACCCAAAGGGTGCTCATCAATGGTTCCTCTTCATCCTGGAGAAGAGTGACTAGTGGGGTGCCACAGGGTTCTGTCTTGGGCCCGGTCTTATTCAACATCTTTATCAACGACTTGGATGATGGACTCAAGGGCATCCTGATCAAATTTGCAGATGACACCAAACTGGGAGGGGTGGCTAACACCCCAGAGGACAGGATCACACTTCAAAACGACCTTGACAGATTAGAGAACTGGGCCAAAACAAACAAGATGAACTTTAACAGGGAGAAATGTAAAGTATTTTTATGTTTAGCCTGGAGAAGAGGAGGTTAAGGGGTGATATGATAGCCATGTACAAATATATAAAAGGATGTCACATAGAGGAGGGAGAAAGGTTGTTTTTTGCTGCTCCAGAGAAGCGGACACGGAGCAATGGATCCAAACTACAAGAAAGAAGATTCCACCTAAACATTAGGAAGAACTTCCTGACAGTAAGAGCTGTTCAACAGTGAAATTTGCTGCCAAAGAGTGTGGTGGAGTCTCCTTCTTTGGAGGTCTTTAAGCAGAGGCTTGACAACCATATGTCAGGAGTGCTCTGATGGTGTTTCCTGCTTGGCAGGGGGTTGGACTCGATGGCCCTTGTGGTCTATTCCAACTCTATGATTCTATGTTCTATAATGCCGCAGGCTTTGGATGTCACACCTACACATGTGTACAAAACAGAATTCCTTTGGGGCTAAAAAAAACCAACTATCCATGGGAGCACAAGATGCAGAAAGAAGCCCACAGGTTCAGGATATGCCAAAGGTGCATGAGGAAGACTGCCAAATCTTTACTAGTGGCGCAAGGTCAATACTATGTCATATAGTTAGTACTATGGGGAAAATCTTACTACAATACATCCTATTTTATCTATTGCATTATTTTTATTTTCCAGCCATCTCTGAATTTGCTGGGTGTTGGGAGTTGGAGAGGGGATAAATAAATTTAAATTAAGATAAAATGTCCAAGCAAAGAAATTAAGTTGCTTCAACATAGATTTGCTATTGACCTTTCAAAGAGCCTGAGAGCAAAACTACATGTTATGAGGAAAACAGATTCAGCAGATTCTCCTTTGCAAAGGCCACCCCTGGCCATTTTTAAAATCATTTTGTCCCTAGCCAGAGCCCAGAACCCTGAGGCAAGTCAGGCCAACAGAGTGAATTGAAACATGTCAAGCAAGAGTTTTGAAACTTTCTGCCCCAGAGGCCTACTTGGCAGGGCTGAAAGCGATGGCTGTCCCTCATCATAAATTGGTGGGTGGGGGGGTAGGTGGGCGTGGCGTCCTAAAGTGGTGGCAGATGGAGGCAGAGTTCAGCATAATCAGCTGACAATTGCTGACAGCATTTTCTGCTGATAGCACTTTTTAGAAATTGCTAGATTCTTGGCCAGAGCAATTTTATCATGGCAAGGAGTTTCAGTCTTCAGTTTTCCTCAAGCTAAGTACAGATATTAGCCCTGGAGGCAAGGTGACTCAGTCACAGGGGTTTTAAGTGGAGAAGTTTTGTTTTTTAATGTTTTCCCTACCCTCTCTGTGATTTCTTCTCCTTTCACACTTCTTATCTCTGATGAACTACTAGTGTTTTTCATCCCTTCTCCCTGCTTCTATTATGTTCACTTATTCCTCCTATAAATGTCATTTTTATTCCCAAGTTATTGTTGCTGTTGTTATTTTTAAAATTAACTTTTTATCTCTTATTCTAATTTCCTTCAGCCCTCCTTCCTCTGGCCTTTTCCTCTCATAGGAAGGAAACCTTCCTTCTCTTCTCTACCTCCCAGCCACCTTTGCTCAGTATGGGGGGAGTCACTGGTGCTGTCACCCATCCAACCCCAAGGGGACATCAAGGGAAGAGGCGCTGAGCTGAAAGGGAGACCTACCTGAAAGTGGACTGAGGCCCATAGTGGTCCACTGTCTGGGAAATGGTGATGTCAAAGACTGCTTGATAAAGTAGGCACAGGTTGTAGGAGAATCCATTTCATTTGTTGAAGGTGATGCATGATCCAGAGCCAGCTTTTGTAATGGTTAGTGATTGTGTAGGTACCTTTCTTCATTTAGGGTGGTCATAGCCCAGGGCAGTGGCAGAGGAAGGGGTGTGTGAACCGCCCCGGGTGTCATCAGTGGGGTGTGTGTGTGACAAAATGACAAAAATGTTAGTTAAAACTTTTTAAAAACTTTTTATTTCAGTCAATAAACATAATGAAACGCGACTGGCACTGGGTGCCACACCACGGGGGCTGGCACTTACCGCAGGGCCTGTAGTGTGTTTGAGCCACATGTCTCTCCTGGGAATGACGTGGTGGCTTGAGCGCCTGCAGGCTCACCGCTGCCTGAAACGGCAGCATGGGGCTTGCGTCTGCCCACCGCCTCTTCCTACAGCTGAGGGGGAGACAGCGGAGAGGGTCCATGCAGCGTGCCCCACCCCCAGGACGCGCACGCTGCACCGGGCACCCTAGCAGCTAGCTACGCCCTGGCCCAGGACAATAACTTATGAGACAAGAGCTGCTTCTACACCAGGCACTGAGTATGGAACAAGACTTCCGGAAGCGGCGCCATCGGCAATGGCGGATTCCCTCTAGTCTGGAGGGAGAAGCTCCTCGGAAATCGGGTCTTGCCACTACAGCGAAGCGGGGACCCTCTCGAAAACCACAGGCGGGTGAAGCCTGTGACCGTGGGACTCGGCGGGCACCTATAGCGCCCCCCCAACGTGCAAGGGAACCCTGCGAGGGGCTCCAGAGCGAAGCGGGGGTTAAAGGCGCGGTGCTGAGAGTCGATCGCTACTTCTGTGGAGTGAAGCCGCGCAGCTGTTGCCGGAGAGTGCTGACCTCTTTTCCTGAGACAATTCGGCTACTAAACAACAACCCGTGAGTAGGTCAAGCTTTAAGATTGGAGGCTAAAGGAAAAAGAAGGTGTGGAAGATCATTTATTGGCATGCTATGTTAGGTACCCTAATATTCCATCGATAATGGGTGGTGACTTTAATGCACGTACAGCCGCCAACTGGAATGGGATAATTAAGGCCAAGTGGTCGGTATCTCCCCCCTACCCAAAATCTGATTTAATCTCTTTTACATCAAGAAGATATAAGGACAACAGAGTGAATGAGGCGGGAGTCCTTCTTTATCAATTGGCCATTCGTATGAATTTGAACATTTTAAATAGCAACTGCCCTCCGGACGTGCCAGGTGAATTTACTCACTTGGGCTCAACATCAAATAGTGTCCTAGACTATCTTCTAGTTTCAGATGACCTATTTTCAAACCTCTTTTATCTCAAAGTAGATAATGTACATTCCAGTGACCACCTACCTCTAGCGGCCAAGCTAACACTTGACTGGCACCCGGTTAGCAGTACACACCCAATTCATGTAGGTTTAAATGCCACAGCTCAAGTAAGAGGCATTAAATGGTCTATGAAACAGGCCCAAAAATATGCAGAATTCTTCCAGAGGAATATCTCTGAATCCCTTATTGTTTCATTGGCGGAGCTATCTGAACCAAATAGGATACTGGAGTGGTTCTCCCACTTCTCTGCAGATTTAACTAGCTTCTTTACGATGCTGGCTCACCTGGTTAACCGAGATCAACCCAGGTTCGGTGCACCTTGGTTTGATGCCAAATGTAAGCAAGCTAGACTCTCTCTCTGTTGTATCTACAACAGATATAAATCTTCTGGAGTTGAAACTCTCCCCCCAGAGTACTTGCAGGCCAAAATTGCTTACAAACAGGCACAGAAGTCAGCCGAGCACGAGTGGCAGCGAAGACGTTGGCAAGCACTGATTGCTGCCTCTAAGCTTCGCAGCTCTCGCGGTTTTTGGAATTTAATCAACAAAAGATCGAGGAAATACCCATTGACGGTTATACCAGCCCCGACATGGGAACAATTTCTAAGAAAATATTTCTCCCAGACAGACATCTCTAACATTCAATCTATACTCGCTTCCTCCTAACCAGACTAACCCAATGGGCTGAAGATTCCAATATGATAGGCCATGAACAGGTCGGGTTTAGACCAAATCGCGCTTCTATTGACCATGCTATAATTCTATATCATCTGGCGCGGAAGTATTCTTCCCCTACTCATGGTCTTCTATGTGCCGCTTTTATAGACCTGAAAGCGGCTTTTGACAGTATCTCAAGAGAGCTGTTATGGGAAAAACTGGCAAAGTGGGGCATAGAAAAAAGGCTGTTGTGGCTTATGATTAAATTATATGAAGGGACGGCCGCTAGGGTGAGGTTAACACCCGAGGGCGATCTCACAAACTCTGTACCAATAAATAAGGGGGTACGACAAGGGTGCATCCTTGCCCCCTATCTTTTTAACCTCTATATTAGTGATATGAGAACGCCCCTAACTGAGGCCCAAACCTCCATTCATGCACCCAGGCTTGCAGACTATCGCTGCCCCTTATTATTGTACGCTGATGATGCAGTGATCCTCTCTTATTCTCGAATCGGTTTGAGGAGGGCCCTTAAGATTTTTGCATTATATTGTCAAACAAATTTACTTACTATTAACCATTCCAAATCTAAAGTCCTAATTTTTTCCAGGAGTCGTAAACTGTATACTGTAGATGGGAACTCGAGGGGAAGCCAATTGAACAAGTTTACAAATTTCAATATCTAGGAATTTACTTCCAGTATAATATGGGATGGAAAGCGCATATCACATATTTACAAAATAAGGTCAAAGCCCTTATCTATGCTCTATTATGCTTCTTCTTTACTGAGGGGGCTATGCATGTTCCATCCGCCTTAAAAGTTTATAGTGCAAAAGTGGTTGCAACTATG